ATTGGTTGCAACTATAGGTTTTTTAGTTTTTAAAAATTTTAAAAATATATTTAATATATAAAATTAGTGTTTGTCAACTAGAGCAAAAACACATCAAAATAATGTAGTTTCAATAAATATCATCGAAAAAATACCAAAAAACTCTCATTTTTACTTAAAAAATAAGTTATTTTTATTTTTTCAATAAGAATTTCTTAAAATAACATAATTTTATAATCATTTTTTCTTAATTTTTTAGAGGCTCACTTTTCTCTTAGAAAACAAGAAAAAACAATTAAGAATGCCAATTTGGTTGGTCTTGCATGATTATTTCAATTTCAAGTAAAAATAGATATTTTAAGCAAGTACTGGGGGTGGATTAGTTTAGAGAAGGATTGGTATTGCACTTCCAGATCGACATTTGAATTTTGAAAAAGAAAAACCACTTCAATTTCAATTTTATTATTATTACCAAAAATTAAAATTGACAATAAAACATTTACCATTGATAAAATAATTACTAAATATTAAAATACTTTTTACAACATGACACACATAACAATACAACACATCAATCCAAAACAAAACTTAAATCATATGGGGTTTGTATTGTAACAAGGACATGTTTTGACATTGAAAAGAGTAGGCATATACCATATAGATTAAAGTTTGTAGAACAATGCCTGTAATGCTCCTCACTCCTCACTGCTGGTTATTCCTCAACTGTGTTTTGGTCCTTCTTCTAGAAGCTCTCCTTCCACGATTTCTGCTTCTTTGAATCAACTGAGGGAAGAACCTAGAAAGAAAACCATTAATGCGTTTGCAATACCATAACCTCCATCTCTTGTAGAACATAAGTGGCAAAATCACAATTCCCAAGCCAAAAATAAATCCCAATTCAACGCTTAAGAAATTCCAATCAATATTGGTTCCATCGTCTGAATGCTTGTCTTTAGTTGTTGGCCCTACATTCGAACTGCAATTTTTCTTCAGAGGCACCCCACATAATCCCTTATTATCTTTAAAGAAGTCTTCTGAAAATGTTTGAATTTGTCCTCCATTTGGGATTCTTCCTTCCAGATGATTGTGTGAGAGGTTTAGGATAGCAAGGAAATTTAGGTCTCCTAGTTGTTGAGGAATTCCACCACTTAGGTTGTTACTAGAAAGGTCCAAAGACTCAAGATTTTTCAAGTTTCCAAGAGATGTAGGGATTAGACCTTTGAAACCATTATGTGATAAGTTGAGAGCATAAAGTGCCTTGAATTCCCCCAAAAGCTCTGGTATTTGCCCTTCAAACTTGTTGCATGATAAGTCAATGAAGGTGAAGAGACTTGTGATCTTTACCAAACTTATCTCAGAACCTTTATTGGTAATTGTAACTGAATCTTGATGAGAAATTGCAACTCCGACCGAATAATTATGACCATCAACATATAAAGAATTAGTAAAGCTGAAGCCGTTGCCACCAGTAAGGATTTTGAACTCAACTGAACCAACCATCATTGCCTTCCAGCTTCGCAACCATTGAAAAGGTAGTTCTCCCCTCAAATGATTAGACGCAAGATCAATAATTTGAAGCAGAGGCCACAAGGAATTGTCATTTGAACAATCAATCTGCCCATGAAGACTGTTGGACCTCAATTGCAAGACCTTCAAACTGGATATGTTCTTCAAATGGCATGGAAAAGTATCATTGATCTGGTTGTTCCCAAGGTCTAAAACCTTCAGAGATGTACAATTGGCCAGAGATCTAGGAATCTTTCCTTCTAGGTGGTTTCCATTGAGGTCTAGTGTTTCTATCCAGCAGTCACTTGAAAATGTATCAGGGATATTGCCACTGAGGTTATTTCTACTCAAGTCCAACACCCGAAGATTCTTCATCCTAGTCAAGCATTGAGGCATAGTGCCATTCAGGGAATTATTCGACAAATCAAGGACAAAAGGCGTGGAATTGCATATTGATTCAGGAATAATTCCATGGAGGTTGTTGTTTGAAAGAGAGAAGAACATAGCACCCATGAGGGAATCACCAATGTCAATTGGTATAGAGCTGAAATTGTTGCTTGAGTAATCTATGTACATGGCAGCTGAGAATGGCTTTGGTATTTGCCCTTGCAATTTGTTGCCATGAAGGTCTAAGAAAGACAGATAACTGGCAACATGAATGGGTTCTTGAAAATTTACTAGATAGTTGTGAGAAAGATCTAAGTGATCAAGATCTAGATTCCAAACCCAATTGGGTATTTCCCCATCCATCTGGTTATTCGAAAGATCTAAATGGGTTAACCCGAATCGCTGCTTCAAGAAATTTGGGAAGCTTGTGAGCTTGCAAGAAGCCAATTTTAATTGGCCAATTAGAGGAAAATCAGAATCAGGATTGGAAACAATTGCATTGAAGTTGTTGAACGAGAGATCAAGAATAGAGAGGTCCAAGAGATTCAAACATGAACTTATGTTTAGCGGACCACTAAAATTATTGGAAGAAAGGATGAGGACATAGAGGCTTTGGACTCCAAATACAAACTCTGGGACAGGTCCCTCCAACTTATTACCTCCCAAATCAAGGACGTGCAATGTAGAGGAAGATACTTCTAGGGGGTCATTCAACCGACCAGAGAATTGATTTTGTGACAATGCTATGCTCCGCAAAGATGGATTTCCAAACAAGGATGTAGGAAGAGTTCCATTTAGTGAGTTGTTGCTTAAATCAATATTTATGAGCTTGGAAAGGCTTGACCAGTTAGTGGAGAGAATTGAACCAGTCAAGTGGTTATTGGCAATGTTTAGCTGGGTAAGATTTTTTGCCAATGAAAAAGATGGGATTGGACCAAAAAAATTATTCCACGAAAAATCTAGAAAGACAAGCTGTGTTAGATTCGCCATTGCTTCTGGAATCGATCCATTGAATTGGCAACCTACAAGCTCTATCCATGACAGCTTCCCCAGGTTTCCAATCGATTCTGGTAAAGTCCCCCCAAAATGTGTTTTGCTAAGCAGCAAGGTCTCAAGAGATGAATCAGGAAGAAATTCTTTGAGAGATCCTTCAAGAAATGGGTTGTTTGATAAGTTAAGAGCCTTTATTGTACGTACCTGGAAGATTTCCTTTGGAAATTGAGCAGACAGATTGTTTCCATCCAAACGAATTACTGAAAGAGATTGCAGCTTGGAAAGGGAGGAATCTATGGGGCCTGAAAGATAACAGTTTGACATGCTCAACACTTGCAAGTTGGACAAAGAAGACAACACCTGGCACCACTCCTTCCCCTGTGTTGATAAATTTATCCCATCAAGAAAGAGATGCTTTAGCTCCTTGAGATTCTGAACAAGGATAACTAGATTAGGGTTCTCAAGTTCCAATCCATGATCATCAACAGATAAATCAAGAGTAACCAAGCTTGTCATCCTTGAAATCTCTAGTGGAATTTGCCCTATAAAGCCAGCATGTGAGAGATTAAGATTGCTCAACTTTGCAAGTTTATCGAACCCAGAAGGAAATGTGGAGTTGAAGCCGTTATATGCCAAATTTAGACTCTGGAGATGCTGGAGATTGAAGAGACTGCTTGAATTGTCAATTCCATAAAAAATCCTCTCGTTGCTCAAATCAAGATCGGTAACACGACCTTTGACATCACACGTTACACCTTCCCACATGCAGCAATCTAGGCTTTGATTCCACTTCACCAATTTTAGAGATAAAGAGGAATTGAAGTTAAGCCTGTTCTTAAATTGAAGCAACAACCCCTGCTGGTCGCTTTGACAGTGAGCGGAAACCAAATCCACATTGATCTCAAAGAAAATTGTTGCAAGAAGTGACATGAAAAGCCAAGAAAAGAATGAAAGCGTCATTGCTCACAACAATGTCAATAGAAACCAAACTGTGAGTTTTTAGAGATTGGAGAAAATGATATATTGGCTAATGGTTGCAACTCTGCCTCTTCGCCCAGTTAATTTATAGCCACGGTCACCCAAGTGTACAAGTCATCTACATTTCTACAGCTATGCTGGAATAAAACACCTGTATACCATAATAATAATAATAATAATAATAATAAAACACTCAGAGAAAAAGTTCACTTTCACATGTCAGCTTGGAATAACAGTTGGTCTACAACATGTATTTTCATGGAAATTGTGAATTTGACTTCTATAACCATTCGCTTTTTTACACTTTCAACAGCTTCTCCTAATACTATCATATTATCATATAATATATATAGAGGTCGCCTAGCCCCAGCAATTTTATTCCCTTATTCTTCGAAAGAGTTTCTTCATTTGTAAGAGTTATAAGAACATTAGAACAACTAACAAGCATTAAATCTAAAAAGTTAAATTTTAAAAATAATCATAAGAAGAGAAAAAAATAGGTACTAGAACAATTAACACATGTAAATCGCAATTCTCCGAACTTAAAATAATTAAGAATAAGAAATATTTAATCTTAAAATTGTAACAGAATACATACATTAAGTTTGAAAATATAGGCCTGTTTGTCTCGTGAATTTGCAATCGCGGTCAGCTGAATATCTAATTATGTATTCAAGTCATTAATTGAGAGCGTCAGAGTATTGGACACGGCGCTACTCGCTAAAAGTCTTCAACAACCAAAGGAAATTAAATGGAGGAAATTTCACATGTATCCATCCGTGGTTGCATCAAATTTATGGATTCAAAATACCGTTTCATTGCCGAAGGTTTATTAGAGTTGACAGACACAAAACAATATTAACGTTTAGATGCTAATTTTCGCATTTTGCTTCACTTCTATTTAGTTTGGAATATGAGTTGGTCTTTCAATATGTATTTTCAGGGAATTATGAACTTGACTTTCATATATTAGTTCGATAAATAAATTAATAAATATATATATACATTTTCAAGGAAATTATGAACTTGATTTTCATGATCATTTTCTTTTTGACTTCTTCAACAGCTTCTAATATTGTCCTAGTGTCATATATAAAGGCTGTGGCAAACCTCAACTTAACTCTAGCAATATTTTTTGATTCTCTGAAAGAGTTTCTTCATTTATAAGAGTAATAAGAATAACTAATGAGCATTAAACTTAAATATTAAAATTAAAAAAATAATCAAAGAAGAGAAAAATAGGAACTAAAACAATTAACACATGTAAATCATAATTCTCCAAACTTGAAATAATTAAGAACAAGAAATATTTATTTTTAAAATTGTAACAGGATACATACGTTAAGTTTGAAAACATAGGCTCGTTTACCTTGTGAATTTGCAATCACGGTCACTTGAATATCCAAGTCATTAACTGCAAGCATCACAGTATTGTATACGACACTGCTCGCTAAAGTCTTCAAGAACCAAAGGAAACTAATTAAATGGAGGAGGAAATTTCACGTGTCCATCCGTGATTCCAGCAAATTTATGCATTGATAATATCGTTTCAATATTGACAAAAAAGTATATTGCAGTTGACAGACACAAAACAATATTGACGCATAGATGCTAATTTACAATGTTTTAAAAACCAACTCGGTGCTTGATCATTTAGGGCATTGATTTTAATTTATTTTTAATTAATAAAGTTAATAATCAATTAATAAAATAATTTTATTTATTAATTATTAATTTTATTAATTAGCTATTAATTA